AACCCATTCTTCGATGGCGACAACCAAAAACAAAATCTCCATTTCCAGCGATTAAACATTTCAAAAAATGCTTCAATCCTTTAATTCAACAAATCCTTCAATGGAACTCTCTTCCTCGCTTACACCCTTCTCAAAAAAGCTCTCCGAAATCTCCTTCTCTTCATCTCTCTGCCCATTCCCGCTCGAACTTCACCAAAACCCGTCAAAACCCAAAAATCTCCGCATTTTTGCTGTAGCTATAGACCCACCGCAAGAACTTCCCAGAAATAGCCCACAAAGACTCCTAAAAGAACTAGCCCAACGTAAAAAAGCAACAGCTCCAAGGAAAAAAATGCCCCCGAAAAGGTTCATTCTGAAACCTCCCCTTGATGACAAAAAATTGACAGAAAGATTCCTAAACAGCCCACAGTTATCCTTAAAACAATTCCCTCTGTTAAGTTCTTGTTTGCCTTCTTCGAAGCTTAACAATGCTGACAAGACTTGGATAGACGAGTATTTGCTTGAAGCTAAGCAAGCTTTGGGGTACCCTTTGGAGAAATCTGATGAATTGGGAGATGATAATCCGGCGAAACAGTTTGATACTTTGTTGTATTTGGCGTTTCAGCATCCTTCTTGTGATAGGACTAATGCCCGGCACGTGAGGTCGGCGCATTCTAGGCTTTGGTTTTTGGGGCAGTATGTACTGGAGTTGGCTCTGGCGGAGTTTTTCTTGCAGAGGTATCCGAGGGAGTCACCTGGGCCGATGAGGGAAAGAGTGTTTGCTTTGATTGGGAAGAGGAATTTGCCTAAGTGGATTAAAGCTGCTAGTTTGCAGAATTTGATTTTCCCTTATGATGATATGGATAAGTTGATTAGGAAAGACCGGGAACCACCAGTGAAGTGAGTTTTTCTTCTGTTTGTAGATGTGCATAATGGATATTAATGCATAGTATTCATAAATCTATTCAATGTTGTATGCTAGTTTGAACTTTGAGATACGGCAGGTCTTCTTACATTATTAAGTTTTAATCTGTGGAAAAGGTCTATGTTTTCATCTGAAGTGAGGTGCTGCTATTTCATTTTGGCAAGTGGTGCTCTTAATTTTAGTGTCACATACCATGGCATAGAAATAAAACCATTGAGATGTTTTGACCTGTCTTTCAGAGCCCTAGACTGCAGTTGTTCTATCTTCTAAGTGTCATTACATAAGTAGAATTTTAATTTTTTTGAATCCATGCTAGGTTACAACACAGGACTTACCATTATGCTAGTTTTTAGTTTGGACTTCCTATGCTATGCTTTGGCAAAACGAGGCATCACTTTGCAGTTGGCACATTTTCTAGTGGTTGCCATCTTCCTGATTTATGCTGATTGGCTATCAATTCTGCCTAGCGATATGTGATTTGACAATTGATAGCATGTGACGAAAAGAAGGCTACTCATACTTGTTAGGGAACTGAGATGTACATGGTTTGGAATTTGGCTATTCTGTTGTTGCAGCTGCACTTGCTCAAACATATATCTTGAATATTACATAGTTGAAGCCTGAACTTGCTCAAACATACTGCATCTTAGCAAGTGGTGTGCTGGGTTTGTTGTGTGTTCTAGATAGAAGAGAAGCAGACTCAAGTTGGAGCCATATGATACTGCAGTAGGATGGGGATGCCACTGTGACTATGCATATTCTTTCTGTGATATCTGCTAGTGATGAAGCTACTAAATAAACTTGTTTTGGATGCTACCAATGTGCTTTCTAGACATACCTTGCAATACTTTATTAAGTGAAGTTGAGAAAGGGGTTCTGCACGTTAAACAATTGGTTCGATTATGAACTTGTTGTTAAGATGTATAATATGTTCAAGAGATAGTTGCATTGCCCATGACCCCAAAAGCTGATGCAAATGTCTCAAATATCATATTTAAGTTTGAACAACAAATTGCATTGCTAGAACAACATCAGGACAGAGAAGACGTGAGATCTCAGAAGTTATGGAACTCTGCTAATATTGGTGTCAACAAGACAGTAAAAATGTCAGGGTAAGGGTAGGGCAGCTGATAGATACCTGTATTACAATAGTTAGGGTGGCTGCTATATACCTTCTATTTTGATAGGTAGTTTGTAGGTATCAAATGCCAGTAAGCCTTAGCTTACTGGCAGGAAGTGTTGGCTTTCATATGACAAACAGTTAAATGGTTAGGTAATATCATGCTGCATGTATGTACCTAATACACATGAGCATCTCGAGAGCTCGTCTCACTCGATGCATTTGGGTGGTGGCATTATGAGATATCTTTAATTGACTAATGACGCATATATAGTGGCTACTAATTTATACTTTTATGGCCAGGTCTGTCTTTTGGGCTTTGTTTGGGGCAATATACTTATGTTTTGGTATGCCAGAAGTGTACCGTGTTCTTTTTGAAGTATTTGGAATGGATCCAGAAGCTGAGGACTGCCAGCCACGGTTAAGGAGACAACTTGAAGATGTAGATTATGTTTCTGTTGAATTTGAAGGGAATAAGCTCAGTTGGCAAGATGTTGCTACTTATAAGGCAAGCTTTGATTTGTTCTCCTTCATTTTTAGATAGCTTATTAATTAAAAGTGAAAACCTTACAGGGGGAAAAAGAAAAGAAAATAAGAATACGGACTGGAATATGTATTAGAGCAGTGTTTCTCTGCAGAGGACCTGGAGAAGCATTTCATTCTCTTGATCTTGTGTGGAAACTTGACTTAATTCTTATTGCTTTGCAGCCCCCTGAAGATGCTCTCTTTGCACATCCAAGGCTATTCAGGGCTTGTGTTCCACCAGGTATGCATCGATTTCGGGGAAATATCTGGGATTATGACAGCAAACCGCAAGTTATGCAGACAATTGGATATCCTTTGGCAGTTACTGATAGAATTCCTGAAATTACTGAAGCCAGAAACATTGAACTCGGACTTGGGCTACAGGTATTTCACTGTTTAGCCTTTCATGAATGTATATTGTGTGTGTATTTTGATATCTATGTTATTCTTAATTATCTATATCTAAGACACTATTGACTCATATTTCTCCTGCTTGATATGAGTTTTGTTTCATTCCTCATGTGTTGCTTCATTTCTGGGATTACAGCTTTGTTTTTTGCATCCATCAAAATACAAGTTTGAACATCCTCGGTTTTGCTTTGAACGGTTGGAATACGTTGGCCAAAAGATCCAGGTAATGACTTTTGCTGTGTTGCAAATATGCTTTAGCAAGTTTAAGCAAACAACAAATGCCCTGTATATCAAGCCTTGTATTTCCTTTCTATGATTCGATATGATGCTTCAAAGAAAGAGAAGGTTGTGAGAGCTAAATATTTTCCAGTAAATGAATCTCACAGTTGTCTGCTTTCAAATTCTTTAGGATCTTGTTATGGCTGAGCGGTTGCTGATGAAGCACCTAGATGCCCCTGGAAGATGGCTGCAAGAGAGGCATCGCCGAGTTCTTATGAACAAGTTCTGCGGGAGGTATTTGAGGGAAAAATACCTCCATCGCTTTATCATCTACTCGGAGCAGGTTCAAGATGCATTTGAGCACAATCGAAGACTAAGAAATCCTGCCACAACTGCTGTTCAACAGGCTCTCCATGGGCTTTCATACAGTGTCTATGGGAAGCCAGATGTGAGGCGCCTTATGTTTGAGGCTTTTGACTTCGAGCAAATTCAACCTAAATCTGTGTAAATATCTGGGGAGTGAAAGCATGAATCATTTTTTTGTTAGCCTTCAATTTTACACTGGAATGAACGCAAGCTACAAAGTCTAGTAATTCCAATGCATTTTTCTTTTCACTTTTTTGTCTTCATATTCTTGTTTGATTTGGCTGGCTATCTCAAATGAGTAACAATCACATATCTTAAGTCATGTCTTTGTGCCCTTTGGTACAAGTAATAAAAATCCCTTTCCAGCTTAAAAGGTTGAAAACATTGGTATCCAAGATTTCTGGATTTCCTTTAAAAGAAATCACAAGTAAATTTAAAACTAATAGGAACCTTTTTAACATTCAAATTAAGGAAAGGGGAAAGTCCAACTTCGATCTTTCCTTTAAGAGAAAGGTTGGAGCCTTTTTTTTTTCTCTCTCTTTTTTGAATTATATTGGATTACCCAATGGAAGATAGTATTTTATTTATTTGGATTTGAACCAATGATTTTCAAGATGAAAAGTGTTTGAAATGTTTCTCGCACATAAAATTTGATAGTATGGGGTTATACTTTCATTTAAAAAATTATTTAAAACCCTATACTTTGTTTTTACCAAATTTCAATATTATCTTGAATTAATAATATACATACAAGATGTAAAATAATGTCAAATTCAAAAAGTGGGAAAACAAAAATAATGATATTGTATGTAATTATGTACTTAATATAAATTTAAAAAATAAACATAAATGTTTAGGTTTATATTTTGATATACCTTTTTTTTGTTAGCATATATTTGATATACTTTTAGTATATAATTCTTATATATTATCACTTAACTATAAAAACCACTTCATAAATATACAAACGTAAAAGTTCAAAAAATTTTCAAGTTAATATTTTTAAAATTATGAATATTTATCTGTAAGAATTTTAACTTTTCATTTTATTCATTAAAAGGATGGTAACATTTTATTCATTGCTAATAAATAAGTACTATACACATACAGTAAATCAAATATAAATTCGAAATGTTTAATATTTAAATTTTCAGATCTGTACTTCAAGACATATATATATATATTAGTTATTTAAATATCTATATATGAATTTCTTCTTCTTCTTTCCATTGTAAAAAAAATAAATAAAAAACTGTGAAAAAAAGAGGGCAAAATTTTTAGAGAACCTGAAAAAGGAAAGTAAAAACAAAAAATCTTTCAAAACTTTCCTCCAATCAAATAAGAACGTGCCACATACCAGATTTTCCACTCACACCCTACATTTCCATCTGTCAGAGAAACACCTCAAAGAACCCCCTCCCCCAACACCCTTCGATAATTCCAAAACAGAAGGCCCAGCTCAGCTCACAGCAGCAAACAGAGGCGCACCCACCCTAACCCATCCCCTCCATGTTATCCCCAAAACCAAAGCCTCAGGAATCTAAGCTCACTCAAAATCATTAAGTACACAAAAAAAAAAAAAGGAAATGGGCTGGCTTTGTCTGAATGAATGAAATATGCCCGACGCACGAACCCTCCGTTTTTACTCCGCCTCTTGCTAGTTTGCTCCATCGTCGCCTCCCGCCCTCCCGTCGCCCAGGACCGTTACAATAACTGTGAGATCGGCGAGATCTCCGGTCCCGATCGCCATCAAGTCATGTCGAAATCTCGCGTTTATACTGACGTCAACGTTCTTCGTCCCAAGGAGTACTGGGATTACGAGTCCCTTACTGTTCAATGGGGGTAAAATTTAAATTAATTCCTCAAAAAAAAAAATCGTGGATCTTCAACTTTAAAATATCTCGCGATTCTTTGATTAGGTTTGTTTTTGATTTGTTTAATAAAATTAAACTAGTTTACATCAACTAATACGAATACAAGATTCTGTACTTAGCTTAAATTAACATGATCTTCTAATCTTAATAATTACACTTAGTTAAGCATTTCTATAACTTTTTAAATATAATCCAAATGGTTAAGTTAACTGTTTGATTCGGTACTTGATCGGCGTGAATTCATTTTTTATCGTATTTTATTTTACTTTGATCTGTTTTAGTGATCAAGATGATTATGAGGTTGTTCGGAAAGTTGGAAGGGGAAAGTACAGTGAAGTTTTTGAGGGCATAAATGTCAATAGCAATGAGCGCTGTATAATCAAGATCCTCAAGCCTGTCAAGAAAAAGAAGGTTTATATTACTTATCATAATCTGTAAATTTGATTAACTTTGGATTACATTTATATGAGGTAAAATCTTAAGGTGTTGTCGTGATGATTTTAAATGTAATCTTTACTTTTTTTGGCAGATTAAGAGAGAGATAAAAATCCTTCAGAATCTATGTGGTGGTCCGAATATTGTCAAACTTCTTGATATTGTAAGAGATCACCACTCAAAAACGCCTAGCTTGATATTTGAGTATGTCAACAGTACGGATTTCAAAGTTCTATACCCTACTTTGACAGACTATGACATCCGCTACTACATATATGAACTTCTCAAGGTAATTTTTTGCCCCTCATCCAGGCTTTTGATGTATACAGTTATGCTTCATCGTGGAATTTAGTTGGTGATTGCTTGTAGTTATATCCTTAACATGATTGAATTCCAAAAGGTTACTTTCTTCTTAAGCTTCTGGAGGATTTCTAGAATTGATGTTTGGATTGTCAGATAATAGGGAAAGATTCTTTGCTTTGTAGGCATTAGATTACTGTCATTCACAAGGAATAATGCACAGAGATGTCAAGCCTCACAATGTCATGATAGATCATGAGCTGCGCAAACTTCGCTTGATAGATTGGGGACTTGCTGAATTTTACCATCCTGGCAAAGAGTATAATGTCCGTGTGGCTTCTAGGTAATGTTTTGAAGAGATCATGAATCATATGACTAACTTTCCCACACATGTACCTTCACATATTTCAAGATTGGTTTTTTTTTTCATAGAGACCTTCATACTGGGCTTAAATATTAGTCCATGCCTGAATAAGAAAAAGGAAAACTCATTTGGGGTTAATTACTTGTATGCTATGCTTGTCCCTTGAATTGGCTTTTCTTATAGAAACTGAATTTTGTTTGTATTACAGGCATATAGATACAAAATTTAGCACGAAACTCACTAAGCAGGTCAAGCTAGGGTATATTTTGATTGGTACTACATTTAATTCTTTTTGAACAACTACTAACTGGATTCCTCGAAGTATACATCTGCTTTTTCTTTTTTTAATTTATAGACTTAAGAGTATCTGTTTCAACATAGGATGCCAAAGACCTCATATTCTTTGGATCTTTCTTGGATGCCAAACTTCTAGAAAATGAATGACCTTTAATGTTTTCCAAGCAACTCAACTAAACAGATTGCTAGTGGTGTGGAATCTTAATAGCTTTGTGAGTGTTTCTTTTAGTTTATAATGCCATCTACCATCTGGATTCAATTTTGGGAAGTTTAATCTTTCTCTTTATTTCTCAGGTATTTTAAAGGACCTGAGCTTCTGGTAGATTTACAGGACTATGATTATTCTTTGGACATGTGGAGCCTTGGTTGTATGTTTGCTGGAATGGTGAGAAATACCATTATTCTAGTTTAAATGTATTAAACTTTCATTTGAAAGATCAATTTTTGGTGCACATTAGATTATTTATGATGTTTGATTTTTTTATTATACTTGTTTATTGTGTAGATATTCCGCAAGGAACCATTCTTCTATGGCCATGACAACCATGATCAACTAGTTAAAATTGCCAAGGTAATATGCTTCTGCAGATTGGTGAATATATTTTAATACTGCTGCAAAGATAATATTTCTTATCATTTTTTTGTTACAATAATATTTTGGTGGGATAATGCATAATTTTCTGACTGCTGCAGGGAGAATGTATTAGACTATATCTTTGTACCTTGTCCATCTCATATTATCCATCTTGCTTTTAAAATCTACATCTGGAGCATCAGCTTGTAACCTTTTCAGCACCTGATAGTGTTGTTTATTCCCTATTCTTTGTAGGTGCAGCATTATCCTTTCAGGTTTTGATTTAAACATTTATTTGTTCTTCACAACCATCACTTGATAGGGGATAGCTACTAGGGGCATACTTTACATGCATTGTCAAAGTTTTATTTCACCTTGGTTTTCATGTCTGCTTTTTCTAACAAAGTTTTGACAGTTTATGTGGATGCTACAAGTTTTTTGACTGCTATCATGTAACTTTAGGTACTTGGAACTGATGAGTTAAATGCATATCTGAACAAATACCATTTGGAGCTTGATCCTCAACTTGATTCTCTTGTTGGAAGGTACATTAAGCATGAACTTATCCAGTTTGCACGTTTGTTAAAACAAAAGCTCTGGTTAACTTTATCTCCATTAATTTATTAATATGTTGTTTTTCAGGCACAGCCGCAAACCCTGGTCCAAATTCATTAATGCAGATAATCAGCATCTTGTTTCTCCAGAGGTCGTTTTTCTTCTTTAGGCAAATATCTAGAAAATTGAATGCTATAAGCTCAGTTAAAGTGCACTAAATGCCTTGTAAGTGATATTCATTTTTTGAGCTCTTCGAGTTACAGGCAATTGATTTTCTTGATAAGCTGCTTCGATATGATCATCAGGACAGGCTAACTGCAAGAGAAGCTATGGTAGGTCTATATAAGCTTATTATTGCTAGTAGCTTTTCTTTGTCCTTTGGTTTGATTGACATTGGCTTATGATGCTCAATATATTGTCCTTTTTCTTTTACTAAATGCAATTTATAACTCATAGAAACTGAAATGAACATTTTTCTGTGCGCTGCTTGGAAACATGTTTGTGTTCATATTTAAATATGAAATGGATATACTGTAGCGTGGACATGCTCCTGACCGAGATGCTGCCTAAAATTTTACACTGTTGTCTTGCCTTTTACCATGTAATTTTAATGTAATAAACTAACAATCTTTGCTTGCCTTTAATTGCTGACTAGTCTATTGCTTCAATGCCCTCTACCATTCTTGTGTATGCTAACATACACCCATTGCTTGCCATGATGTTCTCTCTGCAGGCTCATCCTTACTTCTCTCAAGTGAGGGCTGCAGAAAGCAGCAGGATGCGGACTCAGTGACCCTTAGTCTTGGGTTCATCTGTAAATCAGTCAGACTCATCTGGGGAGATTTATCGTGCTTAATGTTTACATAAACTACAAAATATTATGGCTGCCGTTGTCAGTTTTGGGCAGTTGAAGGGTTGTGTATGAATATTACTATCATTATTACTCGCCTAAGTAACTTATTTTGTTTGAGAGAGCCTACAGTGTTAATACGTTTTTCTTGGTTTTCAGTATGGTCGGCATGGGACACTCAAGTTACAATGTTCTGATTCCACCATAGTAGATTTTGCTTAGAGCTCATTGCATGCAAAGCTGTCATAGATGGTTAGGGTTATCCATTTTAGCTGTTGCTATCATGGACTTGCCTAAAGTAAATTTCCACTTTAAAGGTCTGGTCTCATTTTTATGGCTCAACCTGACTGATATGCAAATCCACCTTGCAAGAAAAGATGACACCATTAAATTTGACACGTTAAGGTAACATTTTTCGAAACCAAGAAGCCCAAATAAACAAAAATGTTCACCTTAATAGAGATGCAGGAATGAATCAATCTCCTATTGAAAAGACATAAGGATCAATCAGTTCCTAAGTCTTGAGGCACATATTCTCCTGGGTGTATAATAACAGTTGAGGCTTTACATAAGGAAATATGTCTACATATAGCATTTTCTTGTACCAACTACATCACTTCTTCAGATGAGGAAAGCAGGTAGACAGATCAGATTTTGGATGTTTTGCTTCAGCATGTTCCTTGCACTTCACCTCTGACGTTGTGCACATAAATGTCTGCATGCATACCTTGCACTGCATTTTTATTGAACAATCACCACTAATTAAGTGCATCAAACAGATGATGATGTTCAATGCAAAATTATAAAAAAATCCTCGCACTCCATGCATTTATTTCTGTTCCTACATAACCTTAAACCGTTAGATTCTAAAGTATTCATCCAGAGTTCCAATTAATGGTTTGCTCTCCCTTTACTTTCACCCGATAAAAGGTTTAAAATCAACATATAGCAGGCACTGAAGGATATCATCTTGAACATGCCTAGTAAGTTCATCCATAACCAATTACTTAGAAGAAAAAGGTTCCTCTATAACCAATAAAATGACATTAGCCTTCTTAGTGTAAACTTATTGTAATTGGAATTGGGGAACTCACTGCTATTACACCACTAATTCTCACACTTGCAAATGCTCCTTACTAATCATGAATATGTCAGACTCAAACTCCTTGATCTCTAACACCCACCACAAGACTTCTATATCAAACTCTTATGCTATTTACAAATCAATAGGGGAGAGAGAAAGCAAATGGGAACAAGCAACCATGCACCGCCCACCCCCAAAAACATATTGAACATAAGGGTGCATAGATTAAACATGTACATGCAAACATGCTATAGCACAACTTAGAAATGCAATCAGAATTTGGTCACTGGCGCAGATGCAAATTGTCAATGTTAAATTACATACCTTCTGCGACACAAAAACTAATTCAATAGAAGAAAATAGCACTTCAAGCCACTTTAAAAGAGGACAGGTATGTTTAAAGGCATTTCGCTTCCACCAAACAGTGAAAAAAGTCAGATGTTAGACTTCATCCAATCTTTTTTAGCGACGAAACTAATTGCCCCAACCAAAATCAAAACAATCCCACACAATTAGAAGCTACAAGGATAGAAAATATCATAACTTTTCATTTTACCCTTTCCTATGCCTAAACAAAGACCAAAAAGATCTTCATGCTTCAGCTTTCAACATATGGGCCAAAAAAAATCACCTTAGCAGATACAGCAATTGCAACCCACATAGAAACTAGCAACAAAATAAGACAAACAACATTTAAAAAGAAAGAAAAAATCATGGGTAATAATAAATAAACACCAAAATGACCTGAATCGACATAGCTTTCTTGTTAGTTTCCAGCTGGCTTCCTGCAAAAAAAGAGAAAACATTAAAACAAACAAAAATAATCAATACAAAAACCTAGGTCATCTGAAAGTAACAAATTTCCAACTTTCACTATTTTTCCTATTTTTCTTATTTCCAGTTAGGAAAAAAAGAAAAAGGCAAAGGTGAAACCTTTCCCGGCGGCTTTAGCCTTCTCGAGGTGCTTCTCGCGCGCCATCTTGGACTTTTGGCCATTGCCCCCTCCCATAATTGATCGATTTGGCGAGAAGATGACAGACCTCAAAAACCCTAACTTGGTTAAGGGGAGAGAGCGGAGAGAGCGAGAGAGGAGGCGCAAATTCAATTATTTATTTCAGCCCACTAAATATTAAAAAAGTATCCCCAAAAAGTTGGTTTTTATCGAGCGGTGAGAGATAATAATTAAACCACTTAACACTCCATCACGGACCACTTTGTTTTGCTGGGATGTGCCATGTAAAATCTTTACATGGTTTCTGACTTGTGAGTCAATGCGCTTTAGTTTGAAGAGTTAAAAAGACATGAAATCAACTGGTCAACTCCTGCATGCATCTTCTCCTGATTCATTAGTATTAGGAGAATAATCCTTTTCTTCCCCTTGGCCCTCATTGGTAGCGGAAGGCAATTCAATTTCCTCAACCCCTTTCTCTACCCCAATATATATATATATATATATATATATATAGACACATAGCAAATAATTGGGTTGTTAGGTACATAGATGTGTTCCAACATGCTTAACTTCTCAAACTATGACAACATCTGCTATTAACTTATGACCCAAGTCCCCCAACTACCATTTTTCCCAAATGATTTGTCTAACTGAAGACAGAAATTGTATTGCCCTTGAAAATCTTAATAAAAGATTTGTTATTTGGGCTATATAAGCTTGGACTTTTCTATGATTAATTTTTCGTGTATAAGCAAAGCTGCAAAGGCATGGAGCCAGGGGTTAGTGTCAAGTGTTATCATTGACTTTGATGGCAACATTGCATTCTGTTTGGAAATTTGTTTGATATTATCTTTTATTCTAGTGACACATGGAGGACCCTCATATGTCTATTGCAAATTGAAGAAACACTTTGTGATTTATTGGACCAAATTTATGTTAAATTTGTAAGCTATACATCTTATTTAAAATCAATTGATAAAAAATGTAAAGATTTTATTATATTTATATACTTAAAATACTTTTAATTTAATGAGATTTTTTTATCATCACTTTAATACTTTTTCAAGATAACAAACTTATTCTGTAATATGAATTTCATATATAAAGATATCGATATTATCATAAAAGAATTAACAAATAAAATTTACTACAATATATTAAATTTTTAAATATGAATTTTTTTTTTACCAACAAATTTGAAGTGATTATCATTGTGCTATCAACTTGAAATGCTTAGCACTCATAGCTCCCCTTTTCTGTGTAGGATTACTATATAAATGCCAACAACTAAAGTTAATAATCAAAAAGAGCATATGGTATTCTATTCTTTAAAGGGAATACGAAAATATGAAATCTAATTTTGATAATACAAGGGACGACTAAAGAACCTAAAAAAGAGAAAGTATAAGGTAAGGCAACAAGTTTTGACTCCCCCCTCCCTTCAACCTCTCCAAATTAAAAACTTTAGAAGCTGTTTATTCTACTAATTAATATACTTGGTAATCTTATAAGTTGGAAAACAAATACTTTTATCCATTGATAATACTCGCCACCAGTTGATACACTACCTAACAAGGGTGATGAAATTGTTGAAAAGAGAAGAAAAGAAATGAAGAAATACATAAGGGTAGCCTTAACAAATGCACATGTGCTGTCTTAAGGACAATAATTCCCAATTTCCAAATCCATTGCCCTATGGATGCACATTAACCACAAGCAATGTTGAGTACAGATCATTGCTTATGCGGTCAAGCCATTGTCACTTGTCAAAAAACTTCTGGAATTGACTAGGCAACTCAAATCCACCTGCCAAATTTGGTACTCTTATATTTTTCTATATTATCATCTCTCAAAACTTAACTGTGTCAACAACATCCTTCTATCAATCTATCTTTAGTTTAATCTGTTAGCAGTTGATAGGATCATTGTTTTCTGCTGCTGTCCTGTGATGCAGTACAGAAACTCCCAAAGTACAAGCCCATGCAATTATTTACCTGCAACTTCTTTTTCTTTTTCTTCTTTTTGTTGCTTTTATGAGAGTCCTGATTGAAGGTAGGCCACAAAAGAACAAGGTGACACATATCCCTCTCTGTTTTGGCTCAAGTAGGACGACCATTTAATTACTTAAGAAAGCACCACCGACACAAAGCCGCAAAGTTGATGGTAAACATCAAAAGGACAAGAGCAAGCGGGTAGAAAATCATGAAGAGGATAAATTAGAAGATGTCTAATTTTTGAGGTTGTAAATGAGTTTAGCACTTGACTACTTGGGTTTAATTAGATATTGGTTTATTTGAGTATAAACGTACCATTTGAAGGATTCATTTGTTCAGGTTTAAACTATTTTACTGGTGGACTTGGAATAATAGAAGGTTGGAGCAGTATTATGTCAAAAAAGATTTACTTTTACCTTGCTGATCTCAAGAAGCGAAGTTCTAACATCAAGGAGGTAAGAAAACCCTTGGATGTGAAGTGATTGTTGGTGAGTGGAGATCACTGAGACTCGAAGTTATAACAGGCAACAGTCCCTAATGCCCCGTTAGGTTCCAAAGTTGTAAAAAGATTTGGAAAGAAAGTTAAAGTCGTGAATAGCTGATACCTTAACCACTTCCTATTCCACACACACAGCAGTTAGTGGAAGAGTCGTTTTCAAAATAGCTCTCCCTCTTTAAACTCTTCCCTTGCAATCTGGGACCGTCACATTTGCCATAACACCAGCACTTGCAGTTTCCAAAACACCAAAAGAAAAGACAAAAAAAAAAAAAGGAAGAAAACCCAGGATATACTTTGCTCTGCTCCTCAAAATCCAACTTCTTCTATCCCTTGCGTCATTCTCAACCAGCAAAAACGAAGCCAAGCTCTTCTCTCCTCTCATTCTTTTCCTTCCAATTCTTCAGCATGGAGCTTTTTCTTGAATTCTTATTTACTATTTCTCTTTCTTTTATTCTTTCGTTCATTCTTGCTAAGCTTCTTTCTCTGTCGTCTGTCATTGATCAACATCTCGAGGCTGTGTCAAGATCATGCATGGAAGTCACGGCCAAATCAGAAAAATATGTTCTTGAATGTGAAAAGGGACTTGGGTTTGTTTCAGAAGTTGTAAAAGTTGATGCTTTAGGTGAATCTGCGGAAGGAAAGAAATCCCTTGAAGAGGCTTCGAGTGGTAGTTATGGATCACCAAAAATAACAGAGGAACCTACTGAAGAAAGCTATGGTCAGGAGAATTTTGTTAAGGAAACCACTGAGATAGAATTAGCTAAAGATGAAGAAGAAGAGATTGAGGTTTTGGAGTGCGAAAAAGAGAATGGTGGGGATTGCTTAAAGGAGGGGTTATCCGATGAGGATGACGATGACAATGATTGGGAGAGAGTTGAAAGAACTGAATTGAAAAAGGATTTTGTTGCTGCAGTGCGGTTTTTGGGGTGTAAAAGCAATGCTGATCAAACTTATGATTTGAAAATTGCCAATGATGTAAAGATGCAATTCTATGGACTTTACAAGATTGCCACTGAAGGGCCTTGCCATGAGCCTCAGCCTATGGCATTGAAGTTGTCTGCCCGTGCAAAATGGTAAAGTCTCTCCTTTAAATTTGGGGGTTTTAATTTTGTATATCCTTTTCTTTTTTGATGACTTTTTTTTGTATATGTTATTTGTGCTTTCTCAGTTGAATTTGATAAAAAACAGAAACCCTTTTGAGGTGTTTGCCTTTGATTTTCAGTTATAGTCTCGTGAATGAGGATTAAATTTAACCATCTAAAGCTGTTTCCTCTGATAAGATTTATAGAATTGTCTGAAGTTAAAATCCATGAGTACATTGGAATTCTGGGTATTGTCTCACTTGAGATCTAATCTCATGGACAATGGAATCAGATTGTACATGGTGAATGTATTTTTGAGGCTGATTAAGACCTTCATAGGTAGAAATTCGTAAAGAATAATGAATAGAATTGACTTGATGACGACTGAAAGCGGAGAATAAAAGCATATTAACAAGTAGGGAAAGGCATATTGATAAAGAAAATGAGAGAAAAGAATAAAGAAAATATTATGGGCTTGTGGATTAAAACAGGTAAAGGGATTTCTAATTGCTTTGTTGGTTCGATTTATCAGAGCCTATTTAGATCTTTTCCTTTGTTGCCTTTTGATAATCTTCCATCTGAGTTTCTGGAAGATTGCTCATCATAGTTGTAGGTTTTTAACTGTTCAATTTGACTGATTGAGAACTGGTATTTGTTGCGATAGGAATGCCTGGAAAAGACTCGGGAACATGAGTCCAGAAGCAGCCATGGAGCAGTACATCACCCTTCTTTCAAGAAGCATCCCTGGGTGGATGCAAGATGATATTTGTGTAAGTTTGATGGTCACCTAAGTGATTTTGCATCAAGGGAGTATGCGGGGGTTCGTTATTCATGTTCTTTGCTTGTTTTGATGTCGTAGGGGGAAAGTAAACAGCATTATGCAGATAACAGAGCATGTAGGAGGCTGCCTTTGGATGTTAATACTATGCCAGAAAATCAAACAATAGCTGTGGATTACAGGTAAATTGGTCATTTAAGATTCACCCATGGAAAGAATTCTTAAATTCCCTTTTCTTGCTTGGCTTACTCTTCCACTGGTGACAACTCCTACAGGACTTTAAATGAGTTGAAGGCACACGTTTAAAGTTTTGATTGGACAAGGTCTGTTGTATACACTCCTTGAATAAGGTATGCATGTTGCTGCTCTGTTTTGTATGTTCATAGTTTCAATTTCCTTGTAGTCTGGCACACTTAAAGGTACAGAGGGAATTTCAGTGAACGGTTCTGCAAGCTGTTGTACTTAAATCTTTGCAAATTGTAGATAGAACTAATGTCGTCATTATTTCCATAATTGTGCTCAAAAAACAGAGACCTACTTGAATTTGCCGATTGCTGGTCCCTTATGAAATACTAGTTTATTAGGGCTTGTGGTTAAGTTGGATCATCCCTCACATCTGAAAAGGCCAAATGTAGTTCTGCTTATGAAACCTTAATGAGTTAACAAGCAAGCATGGACAAAAGAATAGTCTACCACGATTCCTAGATCCCTACTCTTGCTCCACGTGTCATGAGAACCAACAGCCTGATAAAGTCTTGCATTTCATCAGTTTCATCACAACACAACCATCTAATGTGTCAATTTGTACATATGTACCCTTTGATAAAACCAATTCTCTAACCATAAGCAGACATATTTAGACATTTGTGGCTCTAAACTTGTTGACACAATAAAACTTCACAACGTATGCTACTAAACTGTGTCAAATTTTGGAAATTTTAGGGAAATCAACTGACTGTCACCATTTCCTGATAAAGCATCTTCAGCATATATTCTTTTTCCATAACTCATGAATGACTGCTATTTGGTTTGAGTTGCATTCGATATCGAGTTTCTTAAGAGCTCCGATGTGTACATTGCCTTACTTGGTTCAGGACAAGCAAAAGGAAGCAGTCTTTCCAGTGCCAGTTGCTCTTCATCAGCCAGCTCTCATCTCAAAAACATCCCAGCTTCAAACGACCAAGGATAAGAAGCATGCTTCCAAGAATATTAGGAGCTTCTGCTTAGTTATATACAAGTATATATCATAGTCTTGATAAAGAACTAACGATTTATCTGTCAAATATCAGACCCTTCCTTCCTGATTCCCATTAGTCAGCCAGTAAATCCAATGTTCTTTGCAGACATAAGACGGCAGGTTGTTATTCATTAGCTTCCTCTGAATAGAAAGAAAAGGAACAATAAAGCATTTGTACAGCTTTCAGCTTTGGCCATTTTTATTGAGTTGGGATGTGAAGCTTTTTTATGCTTCTTCGTGGAGTTGTGTACTGATTATTACTATGAATCTGATTCTATTTTATCCTTAACATAAGGGAACATGTTTAAAGGATATATTCATATTTCTCATCAATTACTATATGTTCTTCAGGTCTTTCATTTCTAAAAAAAAAAGGATAATTGTCACATATCTATTATTTAACTATAATTTTCCTTAATCCTTTCGCAATATTCAACTTAAATGTTACTAGTATAAGATAAAAATAAACATAACAAAAAATAATATTTAATATGTATTTTAATTTTATGTTTAAAGATTGAAACGCACCGTTTTAAACAACAATAAATAGCTCCTTTATGGAACAGTAAAACGGCGCGTATTCGAACTCCAGAAACGAACTACCTCCTTTCTCTGTTTTCAGTTGCCCAAAAATGCTTAACCTTTACTTTTCCGACCCCTGCTTAGTTCCCGATCCGATCTAGGGTTTTCCATCTGAGATCGAAATGGGGGTAATAATTGAAAGCTCCGTTTGGGAACCAAGTTCCTCCGTCTATATCTTCATTTTCCTGTCTTGTTTTCTCTCACTTTCTCTCTTCCCCTACTATCTCTCCAAACACGCCCCTACAAAATCTCCTCCTTTGTCCGACCATCCAACCTCCTCCTCCCCCTCTCTCCGCTTCCAACGTCACTTTCTCCTTCTCTATTCCCTCGCCTCAGGTGCATTATCATCAAACCTTTTTTTTTTTTTTCAATTGCGTATTTTTTTATTAAAAAAGAAACAAAATTTTATTTTTGATCTGATCTGTACGTCGTCGTTTTCGCAGTGTTGGAAGGATTGTGGTCGGTGTACGGAGAGTTAGAGCTGGTTTACTATGGAATAAGCAAGGAAGGAATGGTGTCGTTTTTGTGCATTGGATTTGGAGCTGCTCTTTTTGTTGGTAGTTTCTTAGGTCTCCTCTCTGATATAATGTAAGTAAAACTAAACCTCCCAATGTTTTAATTTAATCACTTTACTGCCTATGTTTAATGAATTAACTAATGTTATTTATGGATTAATGGGTGGTAGAAACACTGAAAATTTGGATTTTTTTTTTTGAATGAATGTAGAGGTCAACGGAAAATGTGCTTGGTGTTTTGTATCTTGCACCTTATTGTTGGTATATGGAGGAGGATTACATCAGGTCCCAGCTTTTGGGTAGAAAATGTATTTTTGTTTTTGGCTACATCAATATTCTCCTTCAGTTTCGAGACATGGGCTGTCGTTGAACATGACAAGGTTTGGCGCAAACATACTTTCAGCTCTTTCTCAATATTGTTTTTTGGTTTGCTACCAAAAAATGAGAAGTTTGAACATGATGGTATCTACAATTTTTTTTGTTTTTTGCAGCAGGGTCATAGACAATATAGTTTGAATGAAACGTTTTGGTTGATGACTTTTTTTGAATCTGCCTCTTGGATTGGAAGTCAGTGATTGGTAATTGGTTGGTGGGTACTAATAATTTGGAGAAAGGGATTGCATCTCCTTCTACTGCAGCCATCTTACTGGCAATAGTAGGCATCATCTGTATATCCAGAGATTATAATGGAACTCCGCAGACAATGACGATTAAGGATTATAGGGTGTCCTTTTATGCATGTATTCTTGGTGGTAAGAATTTTGTCTTACCTTATTTGTGGAAGTGAACTCATAGGGCTGGGGCATTTCAAATTTCAGCAGCTCTCTCAAATTAGCCTGATTTGATAATTAAACACTCAAGTTATAAGCAAAAATTGGTGGTCACATGATGAAATAACAAAATCATTCAATACAGACTGGAGTTTTCTTGAAATCTCTTTTCCTTAAAATCCTTTCATCTGCAATGACTGATCTGACTGCTATAGTTGCATGATGGGGTTTGCTTAAGATACTATCTTTGACTCATAACGATCTTCTCTTACCAATAAAGAAAACTGTTGTAAGTGGCTGCTTGTGGTCTGCAGATAGAAGAATATGGCTACTGGCATGTTCACAAGCTTGTATTCATTTTTCCATTTTAGTTTTCTGGATTCTTTGGGCCCCAACAGTGGTGGTAAGATCATGTCTTTTGAGAAGAATGTTAGATTAGTTCTCAACTTTTTTATTTCTGCCTTTTAAGTAACCTCATTGTCTTCTTGGAAGCTTTATATCTTTGAAGTTTACCAATTCAAAATAATTTTAAATGTGAGTTTAGGCTGATGGTCGAGAAGTGTATCTAGGGTTGATATATCCATGTTTGCTGGGGGCAAGGATGTTAGGAAGCTCAGTGTTTCCATGGCTTATTAGTGCATCGCTTCGAATCGAGGATTGCTTAGTTTATGCATTTATCGTACAGGGTCTTCTTTTGTCCGTAATAGCTTATGATTACCAGGTATCCATACGCTGTCTCTGTGTGTTTGTGTGTGTGTGTAAATTAGGTCACTTGTTCTTGTTGGAGATATGGCCTCAGAGTTTCATGGTTTGTGGTGCAGGAAATTGGAGTTTTGGTGACACAGTTTTCTTTATTCCATGCCTGTACCGGCCTGATTCTGCCTTCACTCGCGAGATTGAGGACCATGTACATTATATACCATTATATACATGTTTTTCTTTTATCAAGTTTTAAAATTTTTTTCTTGCCTCATATTTGTAGAAATTAAGTTTTAAAATCATTCTGCTTTAATCATGTTTTTGTAGGTATGTGCCAAATGAGTTGCGTGGAGGAATGATGAGCCTTTCTCTAGCTCCTGTAAATGCAGCAATTTTGTTTATTGTGATGCAGGTGTGTCCCTAGCCCAATAACATATGCATGCATGAATCCATGCTCATCTGAATACATGGATGATTTGTTTTCTGGGAAAGAAGAGGTGTGGCAGTATAAATTACGATACACCTCTTCAGCCTCTTTTCATCTGCTGATGTATAAATTGGTTAATAATTGAAACTTAGGCTGGCCATTGGTTATTTGGAATAAAGAAAGCTGACTATGAGTTCATCAATTATGTTTTCCTTGGTGCCTATGCTTGTCTCGAGCTTAGAGCAGTTGAGGATAGGAAAAATAGACTTGAGCATCTCCTTGGTGAATGTTTTGGAAAATTTGGAGTATGATATATAATTCTACAACGTTTTTCTGATGAGCTTACTAGCTAGCTTCTTAATGTTGCAGAGAGGCTATTATGGGACCATTGAGAATGCAACAATGATAGCATTTGCTGCAATCGGATTATTCGTGGCAGCTGGTTGCATGCATGTTTTGAAGCGGGGGGGAAAGCAACCATATCAAAACTGGCACAAATTATGATTGTTTCATGTCCCACTTTTGCTGACGTTGATGGTTTCCTGTAGTCTGTCATAGCCACTGATCGAAGTGAATGATTAAACAGAACATTATCCTGGACCTTCAAATTGATGGTGAAGCATATGTTGGGAGGCATTCAACATATGCAAAAAGGATAAGAGAAGAACCTATATGAAGTCCAAGTTTCATGGTTTAACTAAGTTATAGTGATAACCTCATAGGATGTCTTCTGAGAAACTACACGACAAGCGATGTGGTAGTCAGCCAGTAACAGTTCGCCATCGAATTCCCCCGTAAGTTTTGTCCAATACAATTGAACATGTTTTACAACCAATTTTGATTCTGCTCCACAAGTTCAGTAATCAGCCGGGAATGATAGGAGGACTTATGCGCAAGAAATCCACTAATGAGAATGGTGCAGTTCAATTGTGCATGAATGCAGCGGTGTGCCTCTTGAATGTTAACAAGGTTGAGATTTGTTTTTTAGGAGTTTATATTAATAGAGTTGCAAAAGCCTGAGGCGTGAAAAGATTCATTCAGAATCATATTTTGTATGAAACTGAGTTTGATTATCCTTTTTCTGGGTTTTATCTGTTGTAGTTTAAAGCTCGTCTAAAGTAGGAAGATAAGAAGCTTGTGCCTTGTTATGTCCGTTGACTCACGGCTGACAGATTCTTTTTACAGAATAAAATATAAGAAAGCATTCTTTGATTTACTTTTTAAGGCATTGGAGTCGTCAAAATTGCCTGCCGTGTCTTGGTCACAGGAAAATATCCAGTAGGTTGAATGGGTTATGAAATTATATTCTCCTACTGTATTTCGATAGCAAGTCTTAATCAATTGAAATAATCAAAAGATAGATTAAATCTGTCTGCTATTGTTATTTTTGTTTTGCTATTATGTTTATGTACAAATGAAATCTGTATAAACCGATTCTTCTTTTTCCAACAATTGAATGAGAATTTTTCTTATTGAGACTAATTAGAAAACCTCATGGATGGGTTGGGATGGGATGCCCAGTGCCGAATGCAGATCAAAGCAAAATTATCACGAACTATCATATGGACAGAAACCTAAAAAGGCCTTTGTTGATCCCTGATCCACTTTGTAACCACCCATTTTTCCCCTTTGATTACTGGACAGCTCCCATGAAGTGATATCTGCAAAAACATCCATCAGATGATGAAACAGAAAAAGAACAAACAATATAAAGCTGCTGCAAATTGGACAAAATACATACTGGATCGATTGTATTATTGGGGTACAAGGAATAAAACAGAAATCCATCCCCCATGCGCGGCTTCACTTTCAGACCAATACATTTTTTAAAATCAAAACTTCCATCCATGTTCAAGCCATTCTGCAGATGATCAGAGCATTGAAACAATATGTTTTAAATTCAGAAAATGATCAAAACCAAATAGAATGGGGGAGAAGCAGAGAAGTTTTGATCTTACCTCATATGGAAATGCAGTTTCCCCTCCTTCTTCAACATCTGATAAGTACACCAAAAAGGTGGCAACCTGTTTTTCAGTTGGGTGAGCTTTGCCTTTGGAAGGATCACAATGAAAATCATAGATATACAGCGTAGCAGCAGAAGGAAGGACGTACCCTTTGGCTCTTCTGCGGGCCATAGTGTTCAGGAGGGAACGCATCTAAATGGGAGTCATATTTTTGTCCGAGCTCATAGCGCAACACATTGAAATCCTGAAACCATGGTATAAACATTTAAGTTCTAGGAACGAAGCTAGTCTGAAGAGAGACCAAAGATACTAATGTCCTAAGCTACGCTCTTCCTCTGCAGTAGATTGTTAATTTATCATGCAATAATGTACCTCATAGTGACTCCTTGGAAGCTTTGTGGCCTTTGCAATTTTTTCTTCAATGGCATCCAAAATCCCAGTACCATCTTGAGAAGCACTAAGAAACGTGCCCATGCTGTTTAACAAGAAACTGTTAGCTTTAGCTAAGTAGGCAAAATTTTTAACTACCAACATATATATACCTTGTTCTAACATCCTGCGGCTTATGTTCTGATTCTTCCTTCCGCAAAGCCAATTTGGAGGGTTCAAGGTTTGACCTTGCCATGTTAATTATGTGTCGGCATTGCTCTGGAGTTGCAAATTTTGGAAAATAAAAAGCACGCGGCCTCCAACTTATAACCTGGAATGGTTTTCATCCAGCATTATAAACATAAGAATCAGTTCTAACAAAATGTTATTGATAAATCAATAAAGAAAAGAAACCCGAATCTGAATAACCTGAAATGGAATAATAGAAATAGAATCATCTCCGGTTTTTCCATGTGCCATCAAGTCATACCCCACCGAGTCGAGCTGTCTCCCTCTTTGCCTAACTCCAGAAACCTCCTTCTATCATTAAGAGAGAAACAAGCAATTTACAGATTAAACCGAAGGAAGGAAACAACCTTGACTATTGAAGAGAAAGGAAGTCCAGAACAACCTGAGACTGAGAGCGTAGGCTGGAACTGAGGAAGCCAGCGATAAAGAATAGACAACAGAAGAGAAAAACAGCAGGAAAACCAAGCTTTGCTCTGGAGTAGTTCCAGTACAGGTAAGCTCTGCCTTTGGTTTTCATTTTAGGAGTATAATCATCAAAAATGCGAGAGGTAGACATCGTAACAGGCAAAATTCAGTGAAACTAGGAATGCACAGGAAGCTATGGTTTTGTTTCTTCCTGACCTTGTAGGAAACAGGGCAGGAGTTTTATTTATAAGACAGAAAAATTAGAAAGGATTTTGGAGTCAATGGGTTTGAAAGGCAATCAGTGGTTCATGGATTTGTGTTTAGAATCTGTTGTCTCCTGTCTGTTTGGCCCACAGGATTTTCCGCTCTGACCATGTCTTCCATCTGACAACGTTGAAAATTTGTTAAGACAATGAACAGTTCTTACTTCTTTACTTAAAATCTTACTTTACTATGTTTCCCATCTGCTTTGGTTGAATTTTTTTATAAGAGAATTATAGGTCAACGTTCTGAAAATTTTTAAATATGTTAATTTAATATAGTTTTTATTTATTTATAATCAAATAGATAAATGACAAAGATATACTTTATTTTGAAATATTGAATTTAAACAGTTGATAAATAAGATAATAATTCTTAATGTTGTTTCTTTGGGTGTTTAATTTTATTTTTACGTATTTTTATGTTTGATTTTTCACAAACTAAACAGATGTTTAGAGTTTTAGATTAGGCAGAGTGATGAGCCAAGAAGGAAAACTGTGGGGTTCTTTGAAGGGTGAAGGGCAAAAATTTACTGTACTAAATCAGGACATTAAAGGTAAGTTGAGAAAAAAGGAGTGGGAAATTTGGTATGCTATTACATTTGTACACATCTGAAATCTGTATCAATTAATTCTCCCTTTGTCAATATTTACAAGTGTGAAAAGATTTTATCCTTTATGAAAAAAAGTAACTTTTATTGAGTTGAGAGTAATGGAGATGCCAAATACAAATCTAAGCAAATCTTGTGAATCAAGCACCTAGATATATGTATTACAGGCAATCTAAAAGTCTTGCTCATCTCTGATCCACTTTGTAGCCACCCATTTTGCCCCTTTGATTACTGGACAGCTCCCATGGGTTGATGTCTGCAAAAGCAAACCATTAGTTGTAGTTTCCATCGTCCAATACCAATATTCATGTTGTTTGAGCCATGAACTTGACAGATTGGATTGAAAAACACTTACTGGATCGATCGAATTATTGGGGAACAATGAATAAAATAGAAGTCCATCTCCTAGGCGAGGCTTTGCTTTCAGGCCAATACATTTTTTGACATCATAATTTTCATCCATATTCAAGCTATCCTGCAGATCAGAGCATCGAACAATTACCAATATATATATGTTTATATTGAGAAAAATGATGAAACCCCGGAAGCAAGAGGAGAATCAGGAAGCCTTGAAATTACCTCAAATGGAAATGCGGTTTCCCCTCCTTCAACATCTGATAAGTACAGTAAGAAGGTTGCAACCTGTGCGGATGGTTAATCAATATTTACCAGAGTGATTTACTTATTGCTGATCAGAAATTGTATTTCAATAGAAAATATGGAATTACTGATTGTTTTAGCACATTTTTAACCACGGGCCATCTTTCCATTGACAACAGACTTCCTCTATTCTGCATTTTCTTGTTCTTTTCCTTAATAGAGTTACAAGAATAACTACCAAATCTGTGCAACAAAACACATGTTGCAAATATACAGCAAGAGAAAAACATACCCTTTGGCTCTTTTGAGGGCCATATCGCTCAGGATCAAACACATCATAATGCGAATCATATTTCTGTCCTAGTCCATAGCGCAAGACATTGAATGCCTGAAACATGGTAATCATATCCACAGACAACAAAACAGTCTTAAGATGCAAAAGCAATTAAGATGCGAACTAATTTACAGGAAAGAAGGATTAATCAACAGTAGGTGGAGACTCAGAAATCTTGCTAGTTCGAAGGAGTGACTGAAAGATGTCATCAACTAGGTTCTATACTGTAGGCTCTGGAGTAAATTATTGATTGCTATACAGGTAATTGGCTTTACTCTGTATAGAGTACCTCGTAGTTAACTCTTGGTAGCTTTGTTGCCATTGCAATCTTTTCCTCAATGTCATCCAAAACCCCAGTCTCATCTTCATAAGCACTGAGGAACGTACCCATACTGTTTAATAAAGAAACTGTTAGCTATATAATGTATAGCACTGCAAATTACAACTTCACAATGACTTGCATCCAAAGCTATTCATCAAGAAATTACAATGCAAAGCCATAGTATTCTTAAATGTCACAAGTTTATGAAGACACGCAGACACACGTACACGTACACGTACATGCATACTCGTACATATATGCATATAAAACATAATACCTTGTTCTAACATCATATGGCTGCTGGGTTTCTCCCTTTGCTAAAAGCACCGTTGATGGTTCAAGTTTTGGTTGTGCCATGTCAATTATGTGTTGGCATTGCGCTGGAGTTGCAAAGTCGGGAAAATAAAAGGCACGCGGCCTCCAGCTTATAACCTGTCATTGATAATTCCATTAGATTTATCTTAAAGAGACCCATCAAAATTACCATAAACATTCGTTAATCAAAAGCAATCATTAATAAAAAAAAAAAAAAGAACCTGAAAAGGAATGGTAGAAATAGAATCATCTCCAGTTTCTCCATGTGCCATCAAGTCATAGTCCAGTGACTCGAGCCTCCTCCCTCTCTGCCTTGCTCCAGAAACCTCTTTCTAATTAAATCAATATAACATACTGAGAATTAAACCCTTTTTTTTTTTTTTGAATGAACGAAATGAAGTACCTGAGAAAGAAGGTTGGAAGCTAAGAAACCAGCAAGGAAGAATAAACAACAGAACAGAAAAACGCCAGGAAACCCGATTTTTGCTTTGGAGTTCCAGCACAAGGAGTAGGCTCTGGTTTTGGCCTTCTTTTTTGGTATATAATCGTCAAACATTTGATTGCTACTCATTCTAAAAGATTTACTGTATAATTAAATCAAAAGAAAAAAGAAGAAGATAAAGTCTATTTGTTTATATTCTCTTGTTAGTTACTTTATGTTGCTTTTGCTATGTTTGTAAAGTTGGCGAGAGAGTGTAATACAAGGGAGAATTAAGCGAGTTTCCATACAATTGATGGATTCTGTATTGTGAATGAAATGTTAAGGCAAGCCTGGCAGTGGCAGGATTTGATTTTTGAAGAGAAACTTTAGGAAAATCTACAACTTTTATGTTGAAATTATTTTCTTTAATTTGTTTACTATTATTGTTTAATTACTTTCTTAATGTTTAACTTTTACCTTAAATGGATTTTGCGTATAATGGTTTTCAGTATAAAGAAAGAAGATGAATCAAATCAAATCTATGTTCTGCACAATGGTTTTGTGCTTTCAAGAGTCAAAACAGCTTTAACAGAAACTTTGGGCCAAAAATTAAACGAAAAGCCTATTCATCGACTTTGACCAATGCAAGTACGTCAATCTAAGAGCTATCAGCAACGACTCTTTCCATTGTTGTTTACACTAATTTTTTTTTTCTTAAAACCCAATATCGAAGATAAAAACCGACGAATTTGATAATGATGAGCTATAATTCGAATTTAATTTTTTTTCTCCAAAGTTCATAAGGGAGAAAATTCCAGATGGATCTCTCTGAGAGTCTCACTCTCGCTCGTGGAAACATGAGGAATGCACACAAATATAGCGTGCAAGGCAACAACTAGCGCATTGCATTAAGCTACTGCCCCCCAACTGTCCATTTCCAACCCCAACCAAAAAAATTTTGGCTCTTCTTTATTGGTGATCATTATCGGTTCCCTCCACGTAATTCAGGGTATGTCCCACTGTTAAGAATCATCAAAGATAGTAGACAATATGTATTTCTATGCTTGTTTTTGCTCCACATAAATTATGAATGGACCCAAATGAATCTAACCCGAATGCCCTTTTTAAGGGGTGAACTCAGGATCATTTGTTCCTTCTCTTTGCCTGTTCATAAAACGTACTGAACAGATTAGGCTGCTGTATCAACTTCTGGAAGCAGATGCTCAGAGTGAATGTTTATTGCTCTTTAAATATTCCTAGTCCAAGACATATCAAGCTTGGAAACAGCTATGGCTCATACTTAGCTAAGTATCATAGAGGACAGAAGCTGCCTCCGGGGTTCTCTGTCGGGGCCTTAAAAGATGAGATGGATGGCGGTATGAGCAACAGCTTCCCAGGCCGGAGCTGGGAGCCTGGCCTGGAAATTGAGGTCCCTTTTGAACAAAGGCCGGTATGTGCACACCAAAACTTTCTGCATATGACGTTCACTTACTCTTGAGTGAAAACAGTGTTCCTTTACTTTACTAGTCCCTGCAGATTAGAAAGAGTTGTTGAATTGTGCATCTAAGAAAGAAAAGGAGAAGGAAAGAGGGAAGGGGATCAAGATATTTATGTTTTTATGGCTTAGCAGACAATAGATAATACTTATTGAACTCTGCAAACCAGCCATCAGTATAGGAAAAAGGAATAAAGGAAAGCATGAAAAAGCATGTGCTGGGAAATCACATATCAATTTGGATTCTGATGTACATGTCTTGTAGGCAATACAATACTTGATGCATTTCTCTTTCATACTTACAATTATCTGTTCCCACAATAGGTAAACGAGTACTCATCTCTGAAAGATGGACCTTTGTATTCATGGGGCGAACTGGGACCAGGGCCCTTTTTCCTTCGTCTAGGAGGGCTCTGGCTAGCAACTTTCACTGCTCTTGGAGTCCCAATAGCGGCTGCAAGCTTTAATCCTTCAAGGGTAAGTTGAAAACAACATCACGCCATGTAACTACATAGTGAGAAGAATAATCAATAGCCTAAGAGTAGAGGAGCTGGTGCAGAAACCATTGCATCACCATTTGCATAAGCAATGTCACAATGACCACAAGTTTACATATAATTGAATTAATGCCAAATCATAATAGAAACTACTGCCAAATATTTTTCTCTATTTATTTATTCATAAGGTTCTCTTACTTCTATGATGGGATCCGATGGGATAAAGGATTTGAACCTCGGACCTGTTACCATCCACCTCTTAAGTAATACATAATTCCGGGGCCCATGGTCTCAACACATAAATTTGAAAAATCATTTAAAGATTACTAGAAGCAGCTAACCAGACAAGCAATAAAGAGAAGACTAAATTTATGACAAGCTAGATATTTCCAATCCGTCAAAAGTTTCCCCCTTAACATTCTAAAACTGTCTGTATCTTTCACACCTTGCAGGAACCTCTAAGATTTGTGCTTGCTGCTGGAACAGGAACTCTTTTCCTCGTGTCACTAATCGTATTAAGAATTTATCTGGTATGACTGTCTTCTTCAAGTTATAAACTATTTTGTTGCTGTGGTGCGTAAGGATGTTTGTGCTATGGCCATTTGTAAACAATTTTGGGGATATGAATATGTAAGATTCTTTATTCTGTTTTGAAGGTGTCAGCCATTCCAAGAATAACTATAAGAAGGACGCAGAAAAATGATTCAAATACATTTTGTTCTATGACTTGTCAAGAAAGAACAAATGATGACATTGCTTCATGAAGGCTATTTAGGGAAAGATACAGGATTCAATGTGCATGCACTGCAAGAGATACCCTATTGATAGGACAACAGATTATAGCTTGTGATAATATTGGGACCTTAGATCTATTCAAGTGTTCATTGATTAGAGACAAGAAATCAAAACCTAAAATATGCAATTAGCTGTAACAACAAAAGCATGATAACATTGAATTCAGTCAAGAGGCTAATCTAGAATAACCATCAGCAATTTAACGGAAAATGTCTTTAAGGTAGATGCTGAACAAGCTCAGCATCACAGAACTTCTCAGAAAGGGCACAACAAAAGAATTAACTTTCTCACATCTCCCTTATTTTTCTTCATGGAATGACTATTCACTTTACTTTTAGATACAGCTTCTCCTTAGTACCACTAGCAACCATATTCCTTGTTAATTTAACCATAACCTCAAAGCTTTGTTATCAGTTTCTTTGTTACTTTTAAACATTAATATTCAGTATGTTCCAGGGATGGAGTTATGTTGGGGATAGACTTCTATCAGCAGTAATACCATATGAAGAAACTGGATGGTATGACGGTCAAATGTGGGTAAAACCACCTGAGGTTAGTACATATTGTGTTTCTTTCTTTCTTTCTTTCTTGACCAGGAGAGGAGCAAAGCAACAATTAATGATAAAAGCATGAAGTAAATTCTTCTTAATAACTGCTTTAAGTTCTGGAGCAAGGATAATTATTCACTATCAAGAATAGTGGAAATCAAGTGGGATGGACCATTAAAAGAATGAACCTGAAGTTTTGGTAGTGCATTGTTAGTGTTTATGGCGACCTTAAGCCTAGTCTACTCAACTGTTAGTTTTTACTTTTTATGTCGACTTACAATTTCTCTGCCAGTTTGTGCTAGTATGTAAGCATGTGCGTAAAAGCATTCACCAGCAAATGCTGGGTGGCATTGTGTGATATGAAGTTTCACAAGGAAGAGGCATCGCGTAAAATTATCACATCCCTTGTGTGATATGAAGTTTCAACATCGTGTTATATTATCCATGTTTCACATCTTCTGAGAGGCATTATGTGGCAAACAAGGAAGGCAATCAAAACTTTGGAACAAGTGGTGTGATAATACCTCAAGTCGTATTGATCAAATGATCAGATGTGAAATATGCTCTCATAGCAGTTCAACATTATGCTGTTAAAGACCATAGTGTCTGATAAATGAGCATGCATTGATACCTGGAAAAATAAATATTTCACAAGGTCTGGCATTCAACGTCCAAAAAGTATTTCATATGATTATAAGCTGCAAGCTATGATGCATAAGATAACAGAGAGACAGGGTGTTACCTATGTTTTAACCATTTACCATGTTGCTAGTTTAAGTCAATTTTTAAAGCCACCAACAGTTTCCAAAAGGTGCACAGCAAATTGAATGTCTAGTCTGAAACAGAAATCATAGTCCAAATACTATAAAGTGTAAGCTCTCAGCCTAAGGATATGTTAAAGATTGAAATTTTGAGAAACTCAAGTTTCAATGACAACCAATTAGAATTGCTCACTAAAATCAATTGAACTAGAACAACAAGAATAAAATAAATATATTCTTATCGTGCTATTCAAGATGGAACATCACAAACTTTTGTAGATATTATTCATGCACTACATTGATCTCTTTAATCTTTTTCCTTTACAGGTCCTGGCGCGTGACAGATTGCTTGGCTCTTATAAGGTACTAACATATGCAAACAACTTATCCATTTTCTAATATAGCATGTAGAAAGAGTTGTACTCCATGTATGTCCAATGAGAAGCTTGGACGCTAAACCAACTGACTAGTGGTGACACATAAATGGTCACACAATCATGTGACCATGAATTGCACACAGATGTAATATTCATCTAGCTTTGATTATTTTAGTGTAAGTATGAGTACAAGCAACCACACACATGCACAAAAGGGAGGGGCCTTACTTGTTACAAAAATGCATGCAAGCTTCACATGAAAATTTTTTGCCTCCAGGTTAAACCAGTTATCAAGTTGTTGAAACAGACACTAGTTGGAACAGGGGCCTTACTTGTTACAGCGGTATTTCTATTTATCTTTGCCACACCAGTTGAGGATTTCTTTAGAACAACCTTTTCTGCAAATGAGACCATGTCAAATGTTCTTGCTTCAAAAACCAACACAAAGTTCAATATAAGGTATACAGGCACATGAAGATCAACAGATATTTATGCTACACTTCCATGACACTAGATTTTCTTTCATTCTAAAAACAACATTTTCATGTATATTGTAGAAAAGAAGAGTTGCTTCGACTGCCAGTGGAGGTTCAGGCTGATGATGATCTAGCAGCAGCTGCTGCAGAGGCAGCTGATGGAAGACCAGTCTACTGCAGGGATAGATTTTATCGTGCATTAGCAGGAGGGCAGTACTGCAAATGGGAAGACCTACTCAAGTAACTAAATTGTATACTGGGTTTGGGAGGGAGAAGAAGGGGAACAGAGCAGAGGCATTGATCACTTTGAATTTTGTATGGTCAATTGTTTTAAGAAGGGTACCTCTAGAAGATGTAAATGCTAAAATTTTCTCCAACTATTTCTAGGCATTCAGAAGGTTTAAAGAAACAAGAAGTAAAATCCATATATCATAATCTATAGCAGGGTCTATTCACAATTACACTGTTTATAAGAGCAAGAAATCTAATGGCTAAGTGGAAAGCACCGAGCTGTCTACACCGGCAGCTTATTTTGACAAATTATAGCCATAGAGAAATATAAAACCAGTGATAGACCTGCATAGGAGTTTAGATGCCTCAGACATTTTTGAATGCCATCAGTTCCCTCTTACTGCCATCTTGATCAAATGTGAGGAATTTCTTCTCTCCTTGATCTCAGCTTTGAATTGACAATTCAAGAAATGTTAATACAATTTTAAGACCAACTGGTCCAAAAAAGTGAGAAGCTTTGGTCTTATGGCAGATTCAAGTATTGATGTTAAAGCAAAGTGAGCACGTATGAACAGTGAATTCAAAAATATCCTATGAGTCATCTTAATATATCTTGTCAATGGCCCAAAAGGAAAGCATTTTCTTCATATATCCAAAGAATTTTGATGAAATAACAGGAAACAGGGTGATAGATTCTGCAGATCCCATTACCAACATGACGTAGGTTCGTTATGCTCCAGACCAATTAAATGACAAATGCAAAACAGACAGCTATTTCTTCGACTTTAAAATGAATCTACTCATCAGGAAGCAAAGCTAATGATTCATCAAGTCAAAACAAGAAATCTTCAAATGCAACCCTGACCAGGTTCTTTGCACTGAGAACTGTAAATGACTGACCTTCCAAATTGTCCCAAGATTTGTCTTGCAGAAATTTGTTAGTGTGACTTCACTTGATGTCTCTCAAATCTCAATCAAGCATAAAGCATTCTAACAGCCAATCCTTGAACCATAAAATGAAACATCTGTACCTTCTTAAGAGATGAAGTATTTCTAGCCTTCACAAGTCCAAAGAGGCATCCATCCTAAACAAGCTTCTTGCACAAATTGAGGATTCTAAATAGTTTCCCTTCAACAATATCCCTAATGGTCTGCTTCCTTCTTTTTGCATCTTCAATATCTAGTGTCCTATATGCAAGGGCAAGCAAATACATAGCTGGATGGAGTCTCCTGAAACACTAGAAAGCTTAATTCAGAGAATGCACTTAATAAATATTTCCATTTCAAAACAACAACTTGGGTTGTGTTGTCATCAGGGTCAGGAAGAAGATTCTTGAGCAGATGCAAACTTTTTATAAACATACATGAGAGACAGGGCATCTTCAATAAATGGACAGTGTGAAAAATCAAGATTGAGTTAATTTCTACTGGTTTATGATGGGAGTGTAAGAACCAGCTGATTATATCAGATGATAAATAGATGCATATTGAATGCAGCCCTAATCTACAATTTTGAAGATTCAATTAAAATTCATTTTGGAAGCGAACTTAACCATTGCTGAATTTTGAACTTTTTAGATCTTTCAAAGCTTTGTAACCCCTCCATCTGATCAGTATTTAGTCCCATCAGAGTATAATATTAATTACCAAGGAGAAGTTTAGATCAGCCAGTTTATCTATTTAGTTCATCTTCTAATATATTAGCTAAGGGGAAGTGGCAAAACACATAACAGCTCAAACTTCATATGCCAGCTTCATGACATGAACTTACTCATCAAATTGTTCATTTGCATCAAAGCCATCCCAAAACCTTTGGGATGCGACTGTCCGGCCTTTCTTATCCCTGCCAAAAGTTTCAATGTACCAACCACCAATGTCATGCATTCCACAGCGAGGTTCAAACAACCAATATCTGTTTCCAAATCATAAAGAATATTATAGTCTAACCAGAGTGTAGAGTTTGTATGTCTAATACAACAAGTGATGTTTAAAACCTGAAAATGCATAGGTAATTTACAAAGAAGGAAGCTTCAAAAATATAAAATCTGAAAATATCAGCTAACGAGATTAAGCCTGACCACCTAAAAAAAAAAAGAGGTGACAGCTCAACCCTAGATCCCTAATACCCCACAATTGGCAAACTTTTACAGCTGAACATTAAAATTAAACACACTTCTTAGTAAGCCCTTCCTAGATGACACCAAAGATAAAATTAACTAAATAAAGTATTCTAGAAATAATAGAAGACTACGCATTATAATTCAAACACATTATCATGGTTATGCATGGGATGTGGAAGCATGATGACAAGAATGGGAACTCATTTGTTCAAACATGTTGCAGAATCATGTAACCTTCCTCAATATGAACATCATATTTACAGATCAATGATCTTAAATTCCTTATTAAAACCTAATCAAATGACATAGAAGAGATCATATGAAGAGAAAAGCATGACTCAATGCGTGAACTCTCCAGGGTTTCAGTTGTATGATGGAAAATAGCAATGACAACTATGTGCACAATCTACCAAATAGTGAAGCGAAAAAATATTATTATACGTAACCTACCTACCTCAATTATAATAATCACATTTAGCTACAAAAGGAAAATCCAAGAATAATCACAACCAGGCATTAATCATTGATATTCTTTTACGATCTGAAAAAAAAAATTACCTGCTAGGTGGCAATCGAGCTCTGCTACATCTACACTCACAAACAGAAACTTCCTCTCCTATCCGATACCAGTGCATATGCTTTACCTGGAGAAACAAATCAAAAGGAATACCAATGAAGACCAATCCATATAGCTATGTAATTGGTTATGCAAACCATCAATTACATAGCACGTGTAGCACTTTCAATAAAGAAAAATTACACAAGAAAATATGAAAAAAAATGAAAATAACTTGAAAACTAGGTTGGCAAAGATTGTTAATTGAACATTCTAAAAAAAGTAAAAAGCCAAAATTATATCTTAATAAAGATAAAAGAAAAATAAATAGACTTTAAGGAGAAAATAGTTACAAACCAGCAATGTCCTATGTTTCATAATCACATGAGTTTTTGTACCACTACTATTGTAGACAAAACATGAACCCTCCTCCGGGCTGGTTCCAAGTCCAGTTATTGTTCCCAACAGAATTCGAGATCCCACCTTATGATCCAATCCATTGCCAACAACCATGAAGTCATCATCTAAAGTAAGAAATACTTCTATGTGGTCTTGAACATCCTCATTTTGTATCTCAGCAAAACAGCTTTTAGGAGGGATTCTAGTGGCCACAGCTACCACTCTTCCAGATACGTGCAACTCCAAATCTTTATATGCATCAGATGCATGGTTTTTAATATCAGTGACTTGAATCTGAGAAAGTCCACCATGGTTTTCTTTTACATCATTCGTGCAAATTCTAGCATTTTGGGTAGACTGAGACAAGACTGAAGCTGCAGACATAGAATTCAACTTTTCATTATAGGTGAAAGATAGCTCAGGGACCCTATCAACCAGGCAAACCATCCCAAAAAGATTGCGCCCTGAAACCAAGTGCAGCACCTCAGGAGTTTCATACACAGACCTTTCCTCAGCTTCAAACCGGTCAGGAAGAAGATCCATGGATTCGATTACAGGACCATAATATGCCGTATGTATAGCTGAATAAAAATCTGCTTCAAGAACATCAAAATAGCCGGTTCCAACCACTGCTTTCCTCTGAGACACCACATCATTTATAGCAAATCTATACCACTTTAACCATTCAACAACTTCCATCTGCTTATTCATTGTTGTATGAGATGCGTACATGCACATTGTTGAACCTTGTCTAGAATTTTTCTGCCCAATCTTTCTCTGAGATAATAGATAGCTGTCATAGTGCCCCCTCTTCTCGGAATCCGAAAGAATCTGCAATCCATTATTGATAACACAGTGACATCAGAATGCCCTGAATGAAAAAAAAAAAAAAAAGCATGCATAAGAGAACACTAACCATTTCCATTGCTAAAATACAACTGTAGAGTCTATCAAATCAAACAGTATAAATAGCCAGGTCTAAGATTAATCTAATTACAAATACATCTCCCACCCGTACCTTAAAGTTTTTAATTCTCGAAATGATTTTCTTTCTACTTTTATATTTAAAATGTAATTTTTTATTTGTTGTTCGTTATTTTCAGCACTAAAACGGAATCTAAAAGAAAAAAATTTACCAACTAAGTATACATTGCAGGCATTTTTGGATAAAATTTCATAAAATTTAATTGAATATGCTCAATTGATTATCATTTAACAAATTTCGATCAATTTTCATCAAATTTCAAATTCAGCTCGAAATTGAAGTTATAAACGGAGCTTGATCATTAAAAAAATCGCATTCATATCAAAATGATAGGACTGAACTTGACAGCTAATTAAACGCAACAACACCTCATAAGCGGCGAGGATTTGGACGAAACGGTTTGAAGAAGCAGGTGAATCGCTCTTGGACTCAGCGAGGTCCGGGTGAGTTTCTTTTGCCAATCTGCGAAACGACGCTTTGATTTCAGCGAACGAGCTGGTCTCGGAAACTCCTAAGATGTCGTACGCGTTCTCTCCAGGGAACTCAGTCTGAGTCGCCGAGCCAGTTCCGCTGCTGAACCACTGAGTCTTGAAACTTGGATGCAAAAGCTGAGAACATAAAGAGTAGTTATAACAATTTGATTGAATTGAAAAATAAGGAATTTTCCGGTAACGGAATAGTCCAGAGAAAAAAGCCATTTTCAATTTTCAATTTCGTTAAATATTTGTCTCTAATTTCGAAAATGAATCAAAAAAATTGTTAAAACAAATGCTAGCATGAGAGTGAGTGCTTCGTTAGTTACACTGACGGATATCGGATTGGAGCAAGGGAACAGGAATAAAGTCACAACGGAGTGCATGAAATTTGAGACATGTTTTTTCATCATGACACGTTGATTGATTTGGCGCTACCACGTGTCAGTGGAGGGAGATTGAGTCCATGAACTAACGGGCCTCTAAACAAACTGAGCCAACTATAGGCCAAGAAAAACAGGCTGAGCCCAGTTGAATCAACTCTATGTTTAGGCTTTGAGTTTTTCAGACGATGGAATCAGAGCCGAGCCTTTCTCAAGTGCAAATACATCGGATTGCAGTCCATTTTTTCAATTAAGAATATTATCTTATGTTAAAAACTTTACTAATTGATTATTTTTACACCCGACTCAATGGTAACCTAATATATTTTAATTCAATATAAAAGTAAAATCACAAGATTGTTTAATATTTATTTATTGTATCTACGCAACTCAACTTCTACATCTTATGAACTCGTTGAAAAGATGAAATTAACATTCTAACATGCAAGAATGCTTTTATGGTTGCTTGGATACTTCAATAACATTTGACAGGTTTCCAAATTTGATCTTTCACATCCTTGGAAGCCAGTTCCATTTAATGATTAACAGACAATTTCCAATCCCTTGGGTGGTTGAACTGTTGAAGACATAAATAAGCTATTTCATTTTTTTTTCTTACAGAAAAATATTAAAAAATCAGGAAAAGCATAATCCAAATAATAGAGAATGTGAAATATTAAAATTTTGTTGTTTATATAAATATTATTATTTTTATCTTTCTGTGTTTAAATTCGTATCATTTAATGTATTTCATATTAGGACGACTCACTAAACCTTACATTGCATAAATCTTTTTCTCTTCTTATTTCGTAAGATTGGAAACTCTGGACTTGGGATCATTAAGGTGTTTCACTGAGAATAGAATTTTTTTTTAAAAAAAGGGTCTGAACATAAAAGTAAGAAGAGGAAAACAGCATTTACACTGCAAAAAGACTATGCTTTCCGTTTGCTATTATTGCACACGCAGAAAGCAAGATAAAGAAGTCCAGTTCGAAGGCTATAATCTCTTTATAAATAATCGCATTCAACCATGTTCTCTCCTTTATATATGTACTTCACGCTTGTAGCTTTCAACTCCAACAATATGGCATGGAAAATGATAATAAACGAGGATGTCAGCAAACTATTATCAGACCCACTTTCTTATTTCGCAGTACGTTGGTGGAGATTTGAATGTGAAAGCTTTGTAGCATGGTACCAGCAATCAGCGGCCAGTGACTGCTGCTTTTGAGTATATGAAGTCTGCAACGACTCTCCTCAATTATGATTGGTCTGTTTTAGTTAGAAATTTCGCACTTTGCACCGAAAATCATTTATTATTGGGTACATTTCAACGCCCATTTAAGAAGATAGCAGAGGTGTTTCATGTTTGGTTGAATTGAAGTAACTTATGGCCCTGAGACTGTAACTTTTCTAACCATTTACTTTTATGCTAGCAGCCGGTAGGTGGCCATCGAGCTGCAACCTTTAAATGAATGGTTCATAATTGTTACACCTCCAAATGTACACAACCTAGTACAGTAGTTTTGGCCATTTAAATTGGGTCATTCATTGGAAATCAATGACATGACGGGCAAATTGCAAAGGTAACGAGAGGCAATCAATGTACAGAAATGCTCAAGAGTCAGACAAAAAGGCCGTATTAAACCTTTACTCTTAAAGTTTGTATTATTTACATTCAAACATTACAATTATTTCTGTCTCTGTACCTTCCGATTCGAACCATTTAGGGATTTCGCACATCCCATTTGGAGGAGTTATGATGTAACTTGATCTGCATTTGGAGCTTGGTCCATTTGTTTCAGCAAGGCTGGAGTTTTAATGCCAAACCCGGAGTTATTGTCCCCTTCAAAGATTGCCCAGCAATACTTGAGTGAAATCTGATCTAAAGTTCTAGATAGGAATGAAATGAAACTATGCATGCATGCAAGGATGAAATTATCATAAATCAAGTTTCCTTGTGGATTCAAATCCAAAGATTATCTGACTATGTTCATATATTTACTTTCAAAGTTAAATTAAAAAGTACAATATTTTTACTTTTTAAGTTTTAATCGAAATTACACAAAAATATATTAATTTTTAAAATAAAATTTTATTTTAAAAAAATATTTTTTGTTATACACATAAATTCAATCGTTAGTCAACCATTAATATTTTTATCAATTTGATGACATGATAAGTGTAAAAAAAAAAAATTTATCTTTAATTAATTTTTAAAATTATAATTATATAATTTTATTAATTTTTTATTAATTAAAGAAAACTCCTCAAATACAGAGCACTGATAAGTGCTTTCTCTTTTTTTTTAAATTTTTTGAAAAATATGATAATAATTTTTTTAATTAATAATTTATTAATTTATTAATTTTTTCATAATTTTTATTAATGATATTTATATTTTTGATGTAGAATATTCATTTTAAAAATTAATAAATCTGTTTAAAATTTTAATTAAAATATAAAAAAGTGAAAATAGTTTACCTTAAATTAAAATATTGGAGCTGTATATCTAATGGCTTTTGGACAAATTTGCTCCCCCACTTTGGCTCACTGACCTGTGCTCAAGATTGTTGCTCAGATAAGTGCAGAGAAGTTGAACGTAGACGATGTAAAGGAGAGACGGTTTAGAGACAAAATATATTGTATTTATCTAATAGCCCTGTTTGGCTTGCATCTTCTTGTTTGTAACGCAATCCGGGAATCTAAAATAGGTTCAAGAATTTATCTTATAGGTAGAAATTACTTTATAAATAATACAGCCAAATTACAAAAAATAATTGAGACCTGTCTTACTGCCATATACTATAGCACACTGCATCTTCAATACGCCTATCCCTATCCCCACCCCCACTGAACCCTTCACTACCAAAAAGCCAATATTGGACATGACATCTCTCCTTTTCAAGAAACAAACGTCTAACAGAAATAAGCAATGTTAGTCATAACTTCAAGTTTTGCTTCTCATTTCTCCCCTTGAAGAACATTTTTTTTTCCTTTTTCGGCCTTCCCTTCTCTAAAGACTATTCGCTAAATGGAAGGGCAAGAGTTTCAAATTATGTCACGTCCTGTTTATCCTTTGATCAACATGTATAGTATATTCAGAGAAGGACGATTCAAATCCAACTCTTTAAACTATAAAATTAAAGCAGACAATGGAGAAGCAGCCTAAGAATTCTTTGCTCCAGTGACACCACATACCTCCAATCTCTATTTTTGGCTACTGAAGCACCAGTTTCCCTTGTTTTTTGGGGTCCTTATCCCTTGATTCAATAATTTAGGGTCCCTATCCGTTCTTTTTGTTTGCCAACAACCGGTTTCCCTCAATGAAGGGTCATCATCCTCCACAAGAAAGGAAACGTAATGGTGGTACGGATAATATCTTTAATCTTCTGTTGTAAGCATTTCGAAAAACCAAGAGACCAAAATCTCTTCATATTGTGAAGCTGCACTCCACTAGTCGACGCAGAAAACTCCACAAAACAATGGATCACCATTCTCTGGCTATAACTGTTTTCCAAATTAAAATTGTATATACCAATTATTTTTCTTTAACAAATGGGGATGAAACTTCAGCATCACGAGCATTGGAACACCTTTTCCCAAATAATCTTTTGTTAGCTTTCAATTACTCGAATTGGCCAATTGCATCATTGCTTGCCCCCTTGCAAACTTTGGCTGATATACAGTATATAGAAACTGATAGTGAAAGAAACATAATATTGGAAAATATTGCATATCCTTTATTATATTCCTTTTTCCTTCACACAAATTTAGGGAATTTCACAGGTTAACATCACACGCATTTATTAAATGGAAAGATTAATTCTATATACGCAAACTTCTTTTTCATCTATATACCTAAATAATAATAATTCAAATTAACTAATATCTAAACTGAATTTATTTTATTAATTTGATTAATTTAATTTTAATAAAAAATTACTCACCTTTATATTGATTTACATACACATTTCATGTCAATCATTTAAAAATAAAGACAAAATATTTCAAATCACGATGCATATATATAAAAAATTTATAAATATGAACATTAAATATTTTATTAATGGAGAGAGTGATATGGCCCTGACATATACACTTGGTCTTTCCAATTTTCCCAAAGAAGATCATTAACAGACAAAGCACATGTAGTCGGTTGGACCTCTATAGCTATCCATCTTCCCGTCGGGCAAACGCGCCGAGACAGTTAAGAAATTTAAACGTTCGCGTTTACTGCATTATTCCTAGGCACAAATCGCGTTTGGATATTGTCAATAATAAAATGCATGTTATCTCTATTCAAAGAATTTCGGATGCATATGCATGATTTTAAGTTAATAATAGTAAATACATATTTTTTATAAAATTATATGTATAAATAACAATTATAATTATTTTCAAATATCATATATAAACGTATTGAATATATAAATTAATTATCAAATCAACATATAATTACATAAATTTAATATAAAGTTGGATTAAATTTGTATTTTATGAAACTTGAATCTGAGGTCTCAAGGAGTTAAGGTTCTAGAACCTTGTTTTTGTAATTGGCTCAATACTTCATTAACGAGTACATGTACGTTTGTATACTAAGAGTTAATTTTAAATTCTTCTTTTAATAATAAAATTAACTAAATTTAAATATCTTATA